AGTGGAAGGAAACATGTTTTTCCTAAAAAAATATTACTTTGGGTGGTCTGAAACGGAACCAGGACTCGGATTAGCCTCAGTAGTAGGGTAAGGATATGGCTAGATGCACCCTTCTTGAAATAACATCCAAGACCACTTTTGTTACATGGGGGAGCTTCTTTTCCTCGGTGCTATCTTTTGCTTTTCAAATATATCATTCCAGCCGAACATGCAGTAATCTAAACAACACTACCTTCACACAAGAATAACGGTTTTTAAATTTATTCTAGTAGCCAGGATAATAAAGAATTTTTAGATTTTATGACTTTCTAACGACCGAGACGGGGATTCAAACGTATGTTAATATATTATTCGAACCGTATACGGATAGTTGAAAGTAATGAAGCTGTAAGGAGCAATATGCCAATTAAATTTGCGTTTTCTTTCTAGGATGAAGAACCGATATCAAAAAATTAAAAATAAAAAAGCAGAGTCGGACAGATGAGTTCAGTTAGCCGTGAATGGAGCGTTCAGTTAGTAAGATAGAAGCCAATTATCACGGAAATACGAATAAAAAGCGGGAAAATGCATGGTACGAAACGTTATGTTGCGCATTTGTAATGAGTACTGGCGAAGGGAAAACCATCACAGATTTATACCAGATTTATTTATAGATTTATACCAAATATAAGAACGTGATCTACATCTTATTTGCAAAGCTAAGAGCAAACAACATACTTGACTTCTTTTTATGACTATTTTTTGCACAACGGTCCTCTAAAATAATAGTTTCTTTAAATTGCTACTAGGCAGACAAGACTGCATTTCCCACCTTGAAGAGATCCAGTTCCAGGGTTCGCGTTTCCACACCAAAAGCGTCCTCCACCTCTTTGGCGGCAGACTTTAGTTGCGGCCCATTCACATCTACCATGAGGATCTTCAGTCCCTCCTTGGCAAGTTCTTTGCAGAAGGCCAGGCCAATACCGGCGGCTGCGCCCGTAACTACAGCCCAATCACCGGCCGACCGCAGCTGTTTCCGTTTAGAAAACAGCAATTTGCCAACTGTATACTTCAAGCCCGAAGAGAGGACCACGGCGGTGATGTATATTAGGGGAGATGCCGCTGCAAGACCAACAGTCCTCCCTAGCCATCCCATGTTGTGAGGGAAAGGGCTGACTTCTATCTTGATAACGAGAGCAACGGTTGTCGCCGAGCTAGGTGCGGTCACGAGTACTGTGCGTCTCGATGCGTCTCGTAACCAATCAGAAAACAGATATCGATCGGACCTAGCCTGTGTGTGTGAAAGTTCCAAGCGTTGCGTGAGTTTTGCGTTTGGCTAACATATTAATTCCCTCCAGGGTGGTCTGCTTGTCATTGATAGTTTGGTAATTTCATGTAAAAAGTCCAAAAATAAGGACGCTATCAATTCTAATCTAATTACCAGCATTTTAATCCGCAAATGTTAAATATTCAAAGCTAAATGGTTTTTTAATTGTTAACGCTAAAGAATGCTGTCAGATTGTTCTAAATGTGATGAACGTTTCTGAACGTGTTTATCCTTCAGTAAGATTAAAAATAATACGCGCATGAACTAGAGTTCATTTAAACTATTCCGTCAATTGCGTACTGGTGTGCAAGGAAACATATTCGTCTACCTGTTAGTCCGATGCCAGCGATATTGCCGCTTTTCGGTAGTCCAAATTTTTGTACTTGTCTTACTGACGCCTTCTTTATAGAAGGGATAATATAGATATATATAAACTTCTTGTACCCATGTAAAAAACGCTAGTCAGGGAATTCGAAGGGATAGAAGGAAATAAATGTATGGAGTTACACCAACAAAAGACCGCACAAGTTCCCCTCCATAGGTTCCAGTACAGCCGGTTATTCAGGAACCCAGAGATTCCGGATCACTACCCTAGTAAATCGAATTTTAGATATGCTCAGTTGGCATTTGAGATTAAGGCAGTTCTTTTAGGTTGCGACCTCTGTTGCACATGCTCCAGCGCAAATCAGTATTCCATTAATCAAGAGAAATAAGCGAGTAGACTAATTTTTAACAGTTCACGTAAACCATACGGCAGTTAAAATTGGAAAATGTTACACTCAAGACCAGCTGCGTTGTCATTCTTATATGTTTATCTAACAGACGGCTTAATTTGCATCAACTAATCCATAACATAGCTCATAAATTTAGTAACAATGGATTTTTAGTAGAATGGGAGACTGTTGTTTCGATAAATGACGGTCCAATTATAAGAGTTCCATCGCCGTTGAGTAGTATTGTGGCATTTGGATGTCACTGGCACCTCCAGAAAACCTGCAAAGCATCTGAGGAAGATCAGGGAACGCGTACTGTAAAGCATGGTAAAAGTAGCCGCAACTAGTCTTCTCAACTCCTAGCATGTCCAGGGCTGCAGCCGCGAAGATATCTGCTGACGGCACAAAGGGATTGCTGGGTGGCACTCTGGAGAACTCAGTGGAGATGAGACAGGGTAGGTACGTCTGCAAGCGCACACCGAAACCTACCGAGTGTGGCCTAAGAGACAAAGCATGAATAAAAAGGCACAAATCGCTAATAGCCCGCACAAAAGCATTCGGATGTTTTATGGTGATAAGGAATGGCCTTCGTAAATAGGCTGCTTCAGAGAGTTTCGGCAGAACAGCTTCCATGCAGCGCAGAAAAAAAACAGGCTCGAAACCATCGAGGGTGTCCAGGCTGGCCGTAAAACATCCAGTGTCGAAGGCGTTGTTGACGTA